AACAATAAGAGTGGGGGGGGGGGGAGACTGTCCTGTTTTCTACAGCAGCCGTAAGGGACTAGACGCTTAGCTTTTTCCAAAAGAAAGTTAGAATCTATTGAGTTTCAAACACAGACTACCGACTGACCATTCTTTGACATCGATTAAAATAAACGCCCTTGTGGTTTGATCAGCAAACTGGTCATGCCCAGAGAGTAGCAGGCCATCCATAGAACTAGTTTTCAAATGCTGATTAAAATCATTTTGAGTCATTCTGTCCAAGGCTTTCACCCCCGGAGCACCAATGAGTAACCCCAGCATCTGTAAGGAAGTTCAGGCATATACACACATAGCTAAGTTGGGCAACATACCTGCCGAGCTGGTCCCGCTGCCTTCCTGATCTCCACTGGTGCCCAGTTCTGGATCTCCGCTGCCTTCCGCGCTGCCTGATTCAATGTAAGCCAGCTGGGTGGTGGCAGGAACAACCGGGGCTGTCAAGAGGGGTCGGATGGTGGTCTGGCGGATGCCCTGAGTAGTCCACGGAAGGGTGGAGAGGACAGGAGGCCTGGTTATCCTCCGAGTGACCGGCTGGCTCTGGCGGGAAGCGTTGTCTTCTGGATGCCAGGGAGAGGAAGATGTCCTGGTCAGCTCGGGAGGCAGGGCTGTGGTTTGGGGGGCCAGAGGGAGAACGGAGTCCAAAGGACGTTGGGTTGCAGGTGGGGTGGGGTGGCTGGCATGGGATTCTGGAAGAAAATCAGAGAAAGAGGCAATGCAGAGAAAGGTCCCAGGAAGACAAATTGGGGGAAGCACATCTTGTCTTGAAGGGACAGCCAAGAAAACCAATAAATGGATCCTAATGTTCTCACTCGAGGCCCCAACGACCAGGCTCAAATTGTCACGTTTTGGACCCATGATGTGAAGACCCAGCTCTTTTGGGAAGACTACTGTGCTGAGAAATGTGGAAGGAAAGAGAAGAGGATGACCAGCAGCAAGGGGGATGGACTTAGTTACAGTGGAGATGAATGCACCATTGGAAGACATGAAGGACCAGGTTGGGGACAGATCCTCCTGGAGAAGGTCTATCCATGTGTTCATTAAGCGGTGACACCGACGTGATGGCCCATATTCAGCCAGCCAGTCAATCACATCCTGCCCTGGTGAATGAAACCTTGAGCCCTAAATGCTATTCAACAATCTTACAGCAACCTTGGGGTATAGGCCATTCTCAGAAGATTGCAGTGGCTGTCACGTATGATTAGAGGATCACACGAGGAACCTCCAAAGCTGCTTCATATCTATCCAACCCCTGGTTCTTAGTAAAGTTCTCATTGCTGCCGTGGTTTACAGAAACCTTCCACGTACAAAGAATAAAACCCCTGGCACCAAACGATGGCTCTGGCTTACAATTAAACGAGTGGATTCAGATGCTGTGAGTTGATCAAAGCAGAGGCATGTTGTAGAAGACTAGGAGTGCAGAAGAATCATCAAGGGGTGTGTTTGTGCGCCCATGCACATGTGTGTGTGTATATATGAAAAGAAATCACACCTATGGCAGAATTCATTTACAACTCTGTTTGCTATTAAGCACTGCACATACGGGAGAGAAAATTGGGTTTGTAAAAACACATACATCCAAGCCACCTCTCGGGTATTTACGAATGTCGCCCACCTATTCAGATGCATATAAGCCCCCCAAGTTAAGCTGACTGGGGAGTAAAAAAGCAACGAAAATTCCACGCAGAAGAGACAACTTCCACACCCCTGAAACCTCAACCGAGCAAAATCGGCCTTTCTTCCGACCGAATTTCTCAGCTACTTTGCCGAACTTCAAGGTTTTGCTAGATCTGGGCCACTGCTCCAAAAGCATCTTAAAAAGGGAGTAACACAATAGTTATCCAGATCAATTTCCAGGGGTGTCAGGATCCCACAAGTCAAATCAAAGAGACTGGGCAGTTAACTTGCATGAAGATGCAACTCTCGTATCGTTTTCTTCGGGGAGGAAAAAAGGCTTGTAGAGTAAACTGTTGCCTCGTAGAGGTAGAGGTATTTTATCAGAACAATTTGGGGGGTACAAAATACAGTTTCCAAAGCTTCTTTGAAGGTGTAGTTCTTCTCCTGGCTCTTTTCTGCCAATTTAATTCTAGCTCAAGCGAATATTTTAGATTGGCCTGCATAGCACATGCCAAAATCAATAACTTCTCATCAAGAAGCAGGGCTCAGAAGAGCATGCAAGTTTCAGAACACATCTGAGAGCTGATTTTCAACAATTATCAGATCAAAAACCAAAGGCTGGTCTCCAAGATCAGCAGCTTGGCACACACGTCAAAACGTTGCCCTCTTCCTGCCCCAACCGTGGATTTAGCTCCCTCTCAGAAACTCAAGAGAGAGAGTTTTAAAGCTCAGGTTTCATAAGTGGGATGTGGATTTTCACACTGGGGCGACGTTTGCCCCAGTGCTCTGAATTGGGCCAGTTCAAAACCAACCAGCTGGATTTGTGCAACGGATCGCTCCTCATGCCAACCCAGCCAAGGGGATTAGTTTTGGAGGTTATGCAGGTGTGAACGAATTCATTTGGTACCCAAGTGAAACTCATG